TGTGTGTGTATGTATGTATGTGTGTCCGTCCGCAAAATGAAGTGAGTGAGAAGGAAGCTCATGGGATAAACAAACCGCTAACAAATCGGGTAGCTTACAGGATTTGAGATATCAATGTTTTGTAGCAGGATAGTTGTGATAACACTCTTAGGGCTATATAAACACCTGCTTAGCACACTTCCGTTCATTCCACATGGTGCTGCAGTGGCAGCTGGAGGGCAGTGGAGAGAGGAAGGGAGGATGAGGAAGGGAAGCGAAAAATCTACCGTCATATCATGATTGTGTCCCTTCTACTGTATGAAACACCATTGTATACAAAGTTAGCGCTTTATAAAATAGAAGATAGTGGACCCTGTGATGTGTTTTGTCAAATGGGAACCACATTTTGGGTACTATAGTCTTTAGAATTCAATGCTTACCTTAGATAGTCAGAACTAGCCGGAAAAGATGGGTTTTCTATCGCGGAAATGACCCAATGCAGGCCTACCTCCTCACTGCCGCCTTCCTAAACCCAGAAAAAGAAGCTGCTATGAAGCGACCAAGTCAAGATCTAAAGTCTAATTGAGTTCTACATCCACGGAAGAACTGGCATGTCGCTCAACCCACATTCCAGTTAAGAATCCCACTGAACAATGTGTTCAACTTAAAAGTCCTATAATTATTTTATAATCAACTCCATGTCAATAAAAACGACGCTAACATAGAAATTCAAGCTACTCATCAAATAACTAATTTATCATGTGGATTTGAGAGCTTGCCGAATTCGCTTTGGAATTCGGAAGTTTCCAAACTTTTGACGCGCCATTTCTTATAAAAATTCGTATTTTTCAAAGAATTTCAGTTTTCAAAAAATCATGTTGCCATCGTAATCTACACTTGATTCTGAATATAATATGTGAATTCGGGACAATTTCATTGTCTATTGGCTACGCTAGATCAAAAATAAAAAAGTTTCCAAACTTTTGACCGCTACGGTATATTCAAAAGTATGGGGGATAACACCCCTCCTTGAGGAACTCCACTTTCAGAATGAAACACTTCCGAATAAGAATTGTTTATGCGGACTTGATAATTACGTTCGCTGAGATATTCCTCAATCCACTTAAACACTATCTCATGGAAACCAAGCCGACGAATGTTATATAATATATTACAGTAATATATTACATCCACATTCTTTTTATCATCTGAAGCCTCTGCCCAGTCATTAAGTGATTCAAGCATATTTGTAACTACAGACCTTCCAACTACGAAGTCATGCTGTGAGTAAGGAATAGTTTTGTTTTTGGCAAGATGTTGCAGGGAACATCCTACAAAAAAAGGATGTGATGCTGACAGGTCTATAATTACAAATACCAGACGAGGGCCTAGTTTTTAAGATACGTGAGATTAGGAGTGTTCCACAAACTAGGCACTTGCGAGAACATAATGGACTGATTGAATAGGTACGACAAGGGAAATGCAATAGCGTGGGCAACATTCTTGATGAACTCGAAGGGAACTTGGTCCAGGGTAATTGACGAAGAGCAGGGACACTTTCTCAAAAGCTCGTAAATATCGTTCGCATCGAAGTAGGGAAATGTGAGCATATGGTTTGCAATATGGGGCGAAAATGGAGGAAAACTGTTGTTGTCTTTTTGAAACACTTTGTCAAATTCTAAGGCCAAGGCATTAGCCTTTTCAAGATCATTTACCAGGAGTCTACCATCCAGTTTCAAATCCTGTAAGCAGTGATTTGCTACGAAGTCTTGACCTCATAAAATTGAAAAAGCGATGCTTATTCTTGGATCAATAATCTTCTTTTCCACACTTCTATTGTATTTGATGAGTTTTTCAGAAAATTTGGCCGAAAAAGCTTTGTATTCAGTCCAGTCACCGCTCCGCTTAGCGTACTGTAGAAATCCTTGTGGTCCATCATATTCCGTAGATAGCGCGAGAGATTGTCTCTGGTCGGGATGAGTGTGTAGAGGAACAAACAGATCTATAGTATGTCTCAAAATAGCGATGAACATCGCGTACTTTTCATCAACAGTGGGAACCAATTCAAAGGATGGAATCCATTGAATATTGAATAGGTAATTACTGATCAGGGAGTAGTTACACTTGGAAAAAAATCTTCTGAAAACAGGGGCGCAAGGAACGATACGTCCCGAAACACTAAAGGAAACACAGCAATGGTCGCTTAAGCCGATGATTGGTGACTTTACTGATACATCATTTATGAGCCCCTCGTCATTTTAGACTAGAAGGCCCGGCAAATTATTACCTCTAGTAGGCTGATCGTCATATTGTTTGAATCCGTGAGTTGCAAAAGTATCAAAGAGTGAATGAGGGATATCTCTGCAGTTATTCCATTGTACCCAGTCAAATTCTGGAATACTAAAATCACCTACTACTAGGACCGGCGATGCTACCGCGGCCTAATTACCATACCGCAGCCGATTACTTTTCCTAGTTGCTCGTTACTAGTAGGAGGACAGGATGGAGGCCTATATATTAGTACAATTCTAACGCAGAGGTCAGGAAGAGCGACATCCGCGGCTAAAATTTCATAAGATTCAGATATTACAGTAGAGTAGTTCAAGGTTTTCCTTATAAACATAGCAACTCCACCTCCGGCCCTCCGACTCCTATCGCAACGGACAATAGCATACTCCTCAATCCATTTACTAAGCATAGCCGGCACAAAATGGTGGCTTTTCAGCCAAGTTTCAGTGAAGAAATATATCGTACTTCGCAGCTGCTATGTCATCGAGGAAAACACAATTCCTGGGAGATGACCTAACATTGGTATATAGGCAGAGAACGTAGAAAAGAAAGACGACATGGGATTACAATCATTTCCAGAACAACGACAGTTTTTTGGTTGAGAACTTTTCATATGCTGAATTTCAGATGCTTTTACAATTTTACCTTTGTAGACTACAAATACTCGTTCTCCGTTGTGCTCGTCCCGATTGAGTTCGTAGGCGCGGTTGCGGAGATCACGATCGATGGCTCTCTGCTCGGGGGTCATTGATTTCCTTATAAACACACTAGAAAATATGGACGAAGAACGCAATTGTTTAGCTATAAGAAGAGTTCCAAACTCCTTTATCAGTACCCAATAATCTATCTGTACTTTAATCAGCGTATAAATATATGACATTCTTTGTGCACCAAATTTTGTAACTTAGACTGTGGTTAATAAATAAAAAATGCAATATCCTTTTCTGTTCGGAACATAGTGCGGAACACGGTCCGCAATGGCCTAAGGTCATTAGTGTCATACACTCTGTTTCATGCAGCCAGAAATCCACGTGGCACACGTGGCTAAATTCTCGATGAAAAGGTGACATCACGTGTGCTCAAAGATGTTCTTGAATCGATGCCACGTTAATGCCACGTCAATTTCTGCAATTGCACAATTTCTGGTTATTTGAAGGCGAGGGTAGTTTGCCAATTGAGCGATTCGCTGGCTTCGAGCGTTGCGCCAGCGAATCGAACGTTGCACCAGCGAATCGAACGATGTACCAGCGAGTCGAACTAGGTACCAGCGACTCAATAGTGGCGGGACCCAACGTTCAAAGGAAGCCACTTTCAAACAGTGTCCACTGTCACGTGACACTGTTTGAAAGTGGCGGGACTTCCTTTGAACGTTGGGTCCCCCACTATTGAGTCGCTGGTACCTAGTTCGACTCGCTATCGAATCGCTCGATTCGTAGACTATGACATCGGCCCAAATAGCGTAGAAGTATGGCCCCTCTGCAAGAAACTGAGTTATAGTCTTCAGCATGTTTTTTTGTTAACTGCTGATTTTCTATAACATTTAGCAGATTTTATGTGTTTACATATTCTACTTTGTTAGTTGCGTAAATGTGTTGGCAGTCATTGCATTTTTGAATTTTCAGCAGCAAATGCCCCGTCTACGGGGCAGTCCCTATTTTCGTTGGCAACTTTCAATTTGACGGACGAGGTTGATTTGATAGAATGTTGTTGACTAGAAATTAAATGAAAATTCGCAGCCGCTTCATAATAATAATAGTAATAGCAGAACAATTTACTCGCTAATCGAAGGAAAAAAGTCTTAAACATCCGGCGTTAATTGTTCGCTTAGGGGATGCTCCACATATTCCGCTTCGAATAGGTCTTTCAAAACAATCTGTAGTTTTCGACCGTGAGCTTGAAATGCATGTATTTCGAGTTAACTAAAACATTTGATCTAAATGTGTATTAAACAATGTGAGACTTCAAAATTTATTGCAAAAGACTCAAAACTTTCTACAAAAGAAATTGCAAAAATGTGTGTTTGCAAAAGTTTTGCAAAAGTTTAGGCCTTTTTTGGCGAGCTTTCGGCGCTTAGCGCCTTTGTCGAGCCTGAAATGAAAATTAGAAGCTTTCTTAAAGTCTGTTAATATATTAAAATATATTAACTGACCCACCTGCTGTCCACTCTCAAAAGTGTAACACTTACCACCCTTGTTGGTCTGTGAAGCAGGAACTATTCCCTACCCTAGACTTACCCTTAAATAGCGTTGACGTGCTACGACCGTTATTTCCCACCCTCAACGCAAAAGTCTTAAAAGTCGTTGAAATACAGTGGAACGCAAAATACTGGAGGCTCTGGAAATAAAAAGACTAGCCCCGGAAATAAATAGCAGAGACGAGTTACGTGACTCTCTTCAACTCATCGCATGACTGCAGTTATCATCACTGTGGAATGAATGCGATATTTTGGGAAATAACGGTCGTAGCACGTCAACGCTATTTAAGGGTAAGTCTAGGGTAGGGAACAGTTCCTGCTTCACAGACCAACAAGGGTGGTAAGTGTTACACTTTTGAAGTGGACAGCAGGTGGGTCAGTTAATATATTTTAATATATTAACAGACTTTAAGAAAGCTTCTAATTTTCATTTCAGGCTCGACAAAGGCGCTAAGCGCCGAAAGCTCGCCAAAAAGGCCTAAACTTTTGCAAAACTTTTGCAAACACACAATTTTGCAATTTCTTTTGTAGAAAGTTTTGAGTCTTTTGCAATAAATTTTGAAGTCTCACATTGTTTATACACATTTAGATCGACATGAGACTTCGGGACAGAACAATTCTAAAGTAAAAGATTTGAATTGATATAGAAATCGTGAGAATCTAGAACTCTGTTTCAATAAGATAATATTTCAATTGGTCCGGTTGTTCAGAAGGCCTGGAGGCGATGAAATCAGCGAGGGTCATTCCATCATTGTGTTCTTTTTCGAAGCATTTCTCTTCAAGGCTGTCGAGGTCTTCGAAGAACTGACACTCGATGACAAGAAAGAGATTTACTGAGTAAGATATTCGCAGCATTATTCCGTAGCCCAAGTGGCGCAACTTGCTCAAAGTTGGTCGTGCGATGTGTGTCCGAGACACCTGTCAGGGATGTATCAATCCTTTAATGATGCGGAACAGTGTGAAAATCGTGTCGAGGACATGGGTGCAGCAGTACGACTCCCTCTCCTAAAATCCGAGTCTTAATACGACCCCCCGAGCAATGTGAAAGTTAAGTCAGAGAACGACGGCCGATTTTCCGCTCCATTTGATGTTGGATTGATGAGGGATCTTGAAGCTCTTGTGATTACATTAGGTTGAGCAAAAATTATCCGCCTTTCATTTCACTCATAAGTTTATTAACAAAACAAACAAACAAAAACAACAATAAATGCGTAATCAACAAACGCTCTCGAACAGTCCTCTCTGCAACCGTGCCTTCATCCCAGGCTTCATTGATTCTACGAGCAGATGCAGAAGCATTCGGTTTCGAGCTCAACTTGCACTCATGTAGCATGAGCAACCTTTTTTGCTCGCGTGTAAGCTCCAGAGTGAAGCAAATACACAAGTGTTGCATATCAAAATGAAGAGATTGCGCGCTTCCAGACCACATCATAATCTTTAAAAATAATTTAGCAAAACTCATGGAACCATGAGCCTGAAAAAAACCGCGGATAATTTTTTGCGCTCAACCTAATACTATTTATTGGTGAGCTTTCTACAATAATGCCATCATCAGACCAACCTTAAATTATAATAATTTCACGTGAACAACTAGTTACATTACAGAAACACCCAGGAATAGGAAGAGGATGGGCCCTGTCGGGATCATGTGGGAATGAAAAATGGCGGTTAAATCAAGAGAAATTTCGGTACCTGGGTCTACAAGGCTACCGTACGAGATAACTCTTGTAATGCCGTTTGTCAACGACAAAGTGGCTCGTGAGGTAAACCATGCGTTGAAAAACTCAGGTTCCAGTTCGACCAGTCTTCCGCTCTTCTTCTACACTCTAGGTCTTTTCACCTCATCGCGAATCTACTAGTGAAATCTGGAGAATCTTGTCGGTAATGTATGTCAAAAGATTTGTGAACCCCAAGGCACCATCTATCTCGTTCAGTGTAGAGGATGTGGAGAGAAATACGTGGGGGAGACGGCAAGACCACTGAAGGTTCGACTAGATGAACATAGCAAGAGCATTGACCAATCCCGTTGCGTACCCTCGGAGCAGTTTTTCTAGACACCGCACATTGGGGGAGGCGGTCATGTGGCGCGGTCACATTGCCATTGGGGCGCATGGGCTGTAGTTGCCACCCAGGCGCCGCCATATCTCAGCCAGATAACTCGTCCGGTTCACGCAAGCCCGAGACTCCCTAATTGATCGGCCTACATTGGAGCGCGTCAGTGCAGACGCCGAAGTGCGGACATTCCGTCAACAATCGTTCTTCCACTTGACCTTCTACTCGATTAATTCTCCATACTTCTCCAAGGCTTTATTTGGAACTAGTTGCATGAAGAAAATGGTTTCAGTTGTACATGGCTTTTCTCTAGCGTATGGTTTTCTTTACATGGTTTTTGTTTTTGTTTCTCATATGTTGTCGTGCAGTTTTCTACGTTTCAAAAGGCCGTTTAGCTACTAAGAAGTAGGTGTATCAGGATCATAATGGAATTCTGACCCATTCTACTTTACAGCAGCTTGCGGTGTTCGGTTGAACTCTCATTGATGAATACTCAACATTTACTTATTCATGCAACCATTTATTGTAAGAAATGTCAATGTTCACAGTATTATATAGCTTTTCCTTAGCATATCGCGACATATGTTTACAATAACTTTCAGTTTTTGCTGTTGTTACTCCTGGCTCACGTTAAACATCTCCGTACCTGAATAGATTAGGAATTTACAATAACTCGTCGTCATTCACGGTCTATTATCGTCATGCTTGTTTCGATATTTTCTCTCCGTTCGCGGTCCCGCTTTCTGAAATGCTTATCTTCCACCGGATACTGAGAATAGCGTTTCACCGACATGAATAAGTGGTGTTCGCAATTAATGCTTACCTCTTGAATCCAACGCAGTGTGCATCTCTCTTCAAAGTCAATATATTTCAGTCTTTCCAGGAGAGCGCGCATTTTAGGGTGGTCCTTGCAGAATTCTACGTTTAAGCGGCTGCAATAAAAATTAATTTTTTTGAAATTAATTAAAATTTTTGAGTGCAGCGGTTTAAATTAAAGAATGTGTAACTTTGTTGTTTCTTGTTTGACTTTTTTATAACTTTTGATTGTTAACTGCTGTTTTTGGCGAAGTGCGGCCAAAAACAGCAGTTAACAAACAAAAACAAGTTATAGCTTTTGAATTATTCAATCCTTACTTGTGGAAGGCTTCTGCTGTATCAGTCGCTCGCAGATCTACCACCTCCCATTTATTCCACATTTCCTTGTAAGGACCATCAAATCATGTCGCGTGCAAACACTCCAAGAACTCCTTACATTTCTCGTAGGCAATGTGATCTAGCGTTACTGGGGGCGTCCATAGTGCTCCTGCAACATTTTGCAATTAGCTGACCTCAGTCGCATGAATTTGTTGTTAGAACATAACCTTTGAATGAAGACGTTTCGGAAGGAAAACAACGCCTTTTATTATGTCCCACCATTCCGTGACCACCGGGACCCTCCCGCGTCCTTGAATAAATTTGCGTAAATTCCAGGTGTCCCTGCGCCTGTAATAAGGTAATAGAGG